GGCGAGGGGGTAAAAAGCACCCTGTTCAAATTTGCTGATGACACTAAGATGTGGGGGGGCAGGGGGAGGCGGCAAGGACGAGTGGCCCTGTCTGCTCTGCACCATCAGGGGTATTGAATGGAGTTGGCAGGTGGGGTTTCCATGGAGACTGGCCCAGGACCTCAGCAGGCAATGCATGCTCAGTTGTTCTTTGCCCGCTTACAGCCCCATCCCATCTGCCCGGCCAAATGCATTCTGCCCATGGGGATCCAGGGCCAATCTCCATGGAGACTCCAGGGGGCACCCCTGCACCCAGGGGCAATGGGATTAGTCACATGCACCATGGCCTGGGCTGTCTCCCATGCCTGGGTCGCCCCCCTGCTTGGGCCACATGGGGCTGAGGGACTTGCTGCAGGCTGGGCAGAATCACTTGGTGGGCCAGATGTGACCAGTGGTCTGTATTTTGCCCACCCCTGTACTAGTAACTGAGAACAACAGTGGCTTGTCATTCCCTGAACCAGCAACAACAGCCAACAGGTTTCACAGGCATCTGTTGATGGCAGAGAAGCTGCTTAGGAATACTGGGCTCTGTTTCAGGCTCTTGGAGCAAGGTGTTCATTTGTCAGCACAGACTATTCTGCCAGTTCTCTCCCAGCATAGCCCTTTCTGTCCTGACTCTTGTCCACTGTCAGCTCCATGCTTTGTACAGTATGAAATCTGCCTCAAGCACACTTCCATGTTGAAGTCAGGCATTCAAGGGCCACAGCTTAACCATACCTGCTGGGCTCAGTCAGGTTTGCAGTTTGTAATGCAACAGAAGGGAGGGAAGAGAAGGAATGCCTTTGGGAAGGCCAGTTAAAACCTTCAGTTGCTTATTTTCCTGTGAACTTTCCAACTTTGCCAGAAGCTACTACTTTTTTGGTGGTTTCCAAGGGAGACCAGAAAATGGAGCCGTTTATTTCCTGTGTCCTAAACTTTGAATCACAGCAGTAGTTTTAGTATGAGCCATCGAGAGGTACTGAAATAGCAGCAATGGCTATTGTTAACACTTTGCATTTGGAATTTCTGTTTTTAGATGCAAAATTGAGATTCAGAGCAGCCTCATCCCTTGAGTCTGACAAGATTGAAAACCATTATGTTAGAGGATGCCACAAAGCTGACACTGGACCAGCCTCAGTCTTAGTTTCTGAAGACTTCCAGTTTACTAGACAAAGACCTCTGCTGTAACAGCTAATTTTTGCTTCCATTCAGAACCTGATTAATGAGGCTGTGGGCCAGTCTAGTGTCATCACTGTCCGTCAACTATTCATTTGCATGAGCTAACCAGCAATGCAACTTTGATTGACAACAGGCAATGGACCAAGCTTCTCCACAGGCCTTGTCAGAGCGCGCAGTGAAACACAAAGCAGACAGCAGTAGAGCACACAGGGTCCCAATATTAAGGCAGGCAAGGAAAGGCAAACCTGTTGTGCAAACCTGAAATAGCAGTATTCAAATGTGTATCAGTTCCAGAGAAACACTGATTTAGCAGAAACAGCCTCATGGTTTAGAGTCTCTCTTTCATGTTCCCCCTGGCCCCACTACCCTCACGCCACAATCTTATGCCCTAGTCAGAAGTTTGCTTTTTGAATTTCTATATACTTTACCTTTGAGCGAAATGTTGGGTGGACAAAGTACAATGCCTTCAAATTTCTCTTGTACCTGGTTAATAAAAAGGGAGAGGGGGCAGTTAGAAACAGAGTTGAAAGTGTTTGATGATATCTGTAGTCTTACAAAACTATGTGCACAGTTAACTCTGACCCAGTCCATTCAAAGCCGGGGCAAAGAACAGATACCCTAACACTAAAAGTAAAAAGGGAGTACAAAGTTCTCCTGGATCATTATTCTGATTAAAATGTTATTAAATCCTCTATTCTGCTGTACAGACAGTGAAGATTATACAAGTTACAGCTACTAGGGTTGTTTTGAATGCTCCTCCTGCAGGTTAAATATAACATTGCAAAAATATACCACCATCATCTGCAGCTGCAGACAGGAGTTACAGAAAAAGGGCTAAGGTAAAAAAATCAGGGTTTAAGTGTCCTGTCATCTTGAATGAATACATAGCAGGTAGACTGCAGAACAACGCAGAACCCGAGCACACAAGGAATGGATCAAATTCCTGTTGCACAGCAATTCTCAGAATCTGCAATAAGCACTGCAGAGATGTCTATGAATTGTTTAGGTGGTTTAGAACGGGGGGGGGGCAGGGAGAAATAGATTTTGCTTCTGCTGGTTTTAAGTCTCTCCTGAGCCTGTGAAATTCTCCCCCAAAGCAATCTGTATTAGTTTACAAAGGCAAGCATGAAGCTAGATAAATAAATACAATCTATTTATTTTTGAATGGAGACAAGAGCAGACAAAATGGTTCTCTTGGAATGTGTGACCCATACTTACTTGATGTCAACAATGTCATAGAGTTTTTTCAGGAAGTTAGAGTCTAGCTGATTGTAATCACTTGTGAGCGTGTGAAAATACACTAGGACGTACTCTTTCACTGTAATGTGGTCCATCACATGGATGAAGTACATGATAGCCTGAGGTGGGAAGACAAGCCACATTTAGAATTTCCAGAGTCCTATTTTGTTTTAACATATTTCCTTCCAATGTTTTTGGTTATCCACGAACCAAAAAATAATCCTAGAAAAGGATGACATTTCATTTAAATTACAAAAGAAAGTTAAGCATTCATGTTTGGGAAATCTAACACCTGGGTTTAAGTTATAGCTATTTGGAGGTTCCTACAACTAACCTTTAGTCTGTCTTACGCCCTTCATGTCCATCTACTTTGCAGGTCTGAATTTCTGACAAGCTGCACAAGAAAAGTTTACCTGTTACAATTCCCTCCTTTAGAGTCCTAAGTAGGGTGTCCCTGTATATTTTGAAAAACCAAAGAGTGGTCCTAATTAGTCTGCTTCCTCTCCACTTCAAAAAGATTCCACCAGAAAAAACAAATATAAAGCTTTATGGAAGATGAATGTTCATGTAATGTGCCTATGCAAGCCATATCTACCTAAGCTACTTATAGGAAGCTTTTGAAGAAATGTACACCTCTACAGACACCACCTTAAAGTTAGAACAGAACCTCAGGGTGCTGGATGTGAAAATGACTTAATAGGAATTGCTTTTCAAATTTTAACTAAATTAACTCTATAGCTCTATAATTTTATATTAGGTTCTTGCCTTTTCCATGTCTATCAATGTGACAGGAATATTTCTTCCAACCACCACCATTACTGTGCGACCACAGTTATCCACACCTACAAAAGCAAAAGAAAAGGTTGTGGGATTCACTTATCTGACCCAATTATCTGACTTTATTTGGTATTGTTTAGAAGCACCTCAAAATGAATGATTCTGAGTTTTTGAAATTCCTCTTTTGAAAGTACAAAACTTCAACCTACAGAATTTTATGCTTCAGCCAACCACTAAAAGTTAAAGAAGTGTGCAAAGATGCACTTCTGTATACGGTACTCATCTCAGTCCGAAACAAACACTTGCATTGTATCCTGGAACCTGCAGTACTAAAAAAAATGCTAAAACTATATTAAGGACAAGGAAGGCTCCATTCAATAACACTTAAGTTTCAGCAATTTGCTATGACTGCTCTCTGCTTAAAAGTCTCCAACTTCAGCTTTATCAAGACCAAAGTGGGCATCTTATTAGATGTGTAACCTTCTAACAGGTACCATGCCTCATTGAAGATTTGGTAGACAGGAGTTTCCTACGTGCTTTTTAAATGCAAATGATAAACAAGACTTACAAACCAAGAAGGAAGGGGCAGGGAAAGAGAAGGGTGGATGCAAGTCCCATAGGGTGACAAATATACCTTTTCTAAAGAGTAGCAACTGAACAAAGTGATTTAAGTAAGACCTGTTATTTTTTAAGCAGTCTACTTCTTCATGTAGACAGGGTGGAAAGGTTAATTTGGACTTTTAGGGAATCTTAAAACATGACTTAACTGGCATGTATGAAACAAGATCTCACTCAATGTCAGCAGCAACTCACAGCCTCTAATGCTGTGAAGAATCCCATCCAACAATAGAAGAATCCCATCCATCAGTAACAGTTGCATTTCTTGTGTGACATGCCTATCAAATATCACTGATAATTATTGCTTTTTTTCTTAGCCTTTCACTCATGGAAGTCCATCCCACCTGAGAGGGGGTTGTTGCTGGATGTAATTTTTAAATTTGCAAGTGGCCTCAAGAACATTAGTCATGAGCTGCTTTGAGGTTTACTATACTTCTGTACCAAACTTCAACCAGAGGAATCTTTTTCTACAGCTAATAAAGCTGACAAAGCTGATACTTGGCCAGTCAGCTCTGGTATGCTTCATTCAGAGTCCAGGAAAATTATAATCCCCCTTAACTTCTCATGGGAAAATGGACTGGACTGCTGAAGGTGGGTGGTTGCTAACTTTAAAATTTCACTGTATTGTACTTTACACTGTACCCATCATTTATTGGAAACTCTGTTTTCTGGGATTGCCTCCTTCTTCCCTGCATTAAGTCAGTCACCAGTAACTTGGATACTCAATCCAACCTACATAAAAAGGGCTAGAAGCATGAGGCCTGGAGTCCTAAACAGGAGGGAAAACAATATAGACAGCAGACACCAGCACATGAACTGGTGTTTAGATAAGCAGAATGTCAAGTAAAAGTATAAAAGTATGATTGGACGTTCATCATAAAAGAGCTGCATTTCCAAACTTGTCCCTAGTTCATCACCAGGGATCAGGGTTTTCCATTTGCTGCGAAAAAATGCAGATTCTTTCCTTTAAAGGAGAAAAATGTTGGAAATTGCAGGTTTCCTCTTGCAGGCTGGTAGAATTCCAGCCTGCAAGGGGCTGCTTGGGGCTAGGGGGAACAGGAGGAAGGCTATCATGGGCAGAGGGCACCACATGCATGAGTGCACGCACACATGCATGACAGCCAGACAGCATGGTGGTGAGCAGCTGCCACAGCTCCTTGCAGGTAAGTCTATAGTGGGGGTGGACATGGGCGATGTGTTGGAGGGGTATGGGGGTGGCACATGCCCCCCAGATTTCTGCATCCACAGCAGGCATAGGGCTGCAGTCTGACTGGACCAACACAGGCAGGAGCTGCCTCTATGGCCCAGCGGGCAGGACCCAGTGCAGGAGGGCAGAGCAGGGTGGCAAGTCTCACCACTGTCACCAGGACTCCCATGCTAGCTGTGCTGCAAACAGTTCAAAGAGTAACAAATCAGTGGGTGGGGGCAGTGCTGCCCTCACTTCCTCCTGCTGCCAGGTGCTTGCACGCTGGGCCACAGCTCTACCCCAGAGGGGTGGGAAGCAGTGTGGGTGGCCTGAGGGGAGAGGGAGCGGCAGCTGGTGGTGAGGTGAAGGCAGCATGGCTAGTGTGGGGGTCCCGGCGGCAGCAACAATGAATCTCACCACCTTGTTCTACCCTCCCACATCATGTTTCAGCTGTTGGACCAGTGGTGGCTCCTGCCCATGCCAATCCAGCCAGATTGTAGCTCCACACCTCGCTGTGGGTGCACAAATCTGGGGGGGGGGGATGTGCCCCCCCATGCTCCCCTGGCACATTGCGTATGCTCCGGCACTCCACCTGCCCCACACCCCCATCCCACCCCACACACTGGGGCCTGTGGCAGGGGCCAGTGAGGGACACCAGCAGGAATGGGGGGGAGTGGGTGGGCTGTGGCTTGGGAGTGAGGGGCACCAGCATATTAGGTCTGCTCAGCACCACAAAGCAGCAGGGAGGACAGTCGCAGCTGGATCCAAGTCCTGGTGAGCGAAGCGGACAGTGGGAGCTCTGATTTTCTATAATAAGAAAACCAAAATCAAATTCCAAAATATATAGGTATTTAGAATTAATGTTAACATAATGATTGAGGCACTGGTAGCGGCATTTCATTTTAATCGTGGACAAACACAGATTTTGGGGTTTTGAAGCAGAGAATTTGGGATTTTCAAACCGACAAAACCAGGATCCCTGTTCATCACATTTCATATAGCTTAGAAACTTTCATACACCTTCAGAAACTCTCCGGAACCTTATCTGGCTGTAGGCAGGACATGCATGGAAATGAAAGACTTTAAAATTGTCAGATTAAAGCAGCTGCTTTAAATTTCACCACAATAAATCACCCCTTCATAGAGGTGCAAGTGACTATTCCATTTTCTACTGGCACACATACACATGCAGCAGGTTTGGAGTTCCTGGACTCACCTGTCTGATATAGGGCTTTGAGAGAAGCAATGTCAGACAGGTCTTCAGCTCTTGCTTGACACAGCCAGCGATTGTAACTAGAAAGTGAAACACATGGGATCAGAACTTGCTCTCTTTTTCTCTCCTCAGTTTCTACATTATAAAAACATGGAGATGAACTTGGAAAGGCTACAGAAGCTAGACAACTGGATCTCTGAGAACAGTCAATACAGTGATCCTTTGAGAAAAGAAAATACTTCCAAAGCACTTCAAAAGAAAGACTGAAACAACTAAACTGGCCGTATTAATTATGCCCTTGGCTACTTTTTTTCCAGAACCAGCCATGTACACCAACTGGATCTCCTTTCCAGCTCCCTGAACAAGTGCAATGATATTGTATTTGGGCTGCAAGCACTGTGGGGAAATTTTCACATTAAAAAAAAAAAGATCGCTTGCATTAAAAAGTTAAAAATAAATAAATAAAAGCATTTCTTTTAAAAATCTAGAAGTTAGGCATAAAGGTAGCTAGACACTGGTCTTAGCAACATTCTATTTAAACTAGTTAAGTGCCTCAATAAAGCCAAACTACAAGAATCCTAACAGTGAATTGACAGTGGACTGATAGGTGCTCAAGTTTCCCAAATGACATCAGGCCTAAAATATCCATGTGCAGAAGGGGATGAAGAAAATGCACCAGTTACAGCAAGCTGTGATGGAACAGTGCCATCTAGCAGCAATCAATAGTAACAGCCAACCCAGAGAATACCCAATGCACACTGGCACTGGGCAACTTGCAGCCTGTGAAGCATTTGTATGCAGCCTGCAAAGGGACTTTTAATGATGACTGTCCTCCACAGGGCCAGCTAACTGGTGAATATTAATCAAAATCCAAACTGAGTTTGTGGCAGACTGATGATTCAAGCTTGAATTAAGCAGTAATGCTGAATTGTTCTTAATGTAATGTTGTAACATAATAAGGTCTTTATATTATATCTGTTGAACACTGCACACTCATTTTGTTTTGTGGTCCTCAGCACAATGCATTAAGAGGCCCTGCAAGAATAACTTTGGGAACCTTTGCTCTACCGATACAAAATGAGTATGACAAAGTATCTCTCTCTTTAACATCAAGTACCTAATCCAGGGATACAGAATGACACCAGGCGTTGCCCCTTTTTTCCAGCTAGTATACTGCAAACTATACACCACACAAAGATAAACATTTTCTATGGTTCATGCTCTGAATCACAGGTCTAGCTGAAACACACACGGGGTGCCAGTGCCACATTCTCACTTTCTCTGGTGCTGCTTCTGTAGTGCTGCCTCTGACAACTGTCCCTGGAGGATGAGGCGCCTCTGTTTATCAACATCTCCCTCCATGCGGGCAAAAGCGTGGGAACCAATGAAAGAAAGATCTGCTTCCAGCCCTTCCTCGTCAGAGTTATCTGCAATGGAAAAATGGGAATAAAGCAAAGGCAGTGAGGGGAAAGTAGTCAAGACTTTGAAGTATGTATACAAGACATACATGGCACTGGACCAAAAGATTACATCATGTGTTGCAACAATGCAATAATTAGACATGACCAACAATGCTAACACTTGTCATGAAATTTATACACCAGATCATGATGCAAAAGTTTTCTGTGATTATTTGTTGACTGGGCAATACTATCTAGAGCACCAGGAGCTAGAAATTCCCAAAGCCTAATCTTGGTAAAGTGTACTAAAGGGCATGGAGTACAGTTGTAGCTACAATGGTCCAGGAAACTTGAGAGCAAGATTTTTTTGAGATATCTTTTATTGGACTAACTGTATAGGTGGGAGAGAAGTTTAAAAAAGCTTTTAGACACAGGCTGCCCTTCCTCAGTTCAGCAAGAGAAGCAGACATTGTTTAAGCTAAATACCAGACATCCTGGCCATCTCTTTCAGTTCTCTCCTTAAAAGTAACTTCTGCCACACAGTCTTTACCCAGTGGAAATCTTCCCAATGCCCTATCCCCTATCCTTGCATCTTGACTACAGTGCTTTTCTGGACGTGCTGTAGTACACCAAGTCCCTTGGGGCAGGGGATGTCTTGCAGGATTGTTCACAAATAATACCCGTCTCAGTCCAAGAGGAGTCACAAAGATGGAGCTCTTTCTCATGGGGTTGGATCAGGACCTTTGCTGCTCCAGAGAAAAGTCAAGTCATCTCTTGTCCACATCTTCTACCTTCTCTGACAAAGGGATTTTAGCTGATGTCACTAGGGTAGAGTGTATGCGGCCATAGAATACTGGCACATTTTTGCTCCGAGGCTGTTCTCGTAAATGTGATGTGTACGTAGCCCCTGAAAAAGGCAACTGTTTGTTCCCTTTGCATGTTCTCTGGTTTTCCTTGACTCACTAACTAATAGTTGTTTCATGATGCTGCAAAAACTCACCATCTGGAATGCCTGGCTTCTCACTAATCCTGATCTGCCGCTCTGGTACAACTGGTTCCCCTTCTGCATTGCCAATATCTTCAGGAAGGCAAAGCAATGATCGACTCTCTTCTTCCAATGATCTTGGAAAATACAGAGGCAGCAACTTCTTGTAAGTGACCTGGAAGTGGGAAAGTTTAAGGTCTTACATGTATTCATGAGAGGGTTCAAAAGTTCCGCTACTCCATGTTGTCACAGACAATTTCAACTCTGAACAGGGGGACAAAGGGTCTCTCTCAAAAACTGTTCCTTCTTCCTATTTGATATCCCATATCTCCTTCCCTTCTTTCGGTGAGCTTTTGCCCAATGCAGAAGAGGAAAGGGAGACAGCCTGGGCCTCCAAGAGTGTTTATCCACAGAAATATTAAGTCACAGTTCCATCCTTCAAATACCAGGGCAAGACTATGCCCTGCAAACGTTTCATTAAAATTTTGACTGGATTATGTTACATACTTCCTTCCTTTGTGCTACAAGGCTGTTTTACAAACATGTTTCTAATATTAAAACTGTATTTTTCCTCATATGGTTAATCCTATTATTCCTAGTTTAAATAAATCCTCTCTCTCAGTATAGATTTCATAGATGTTAGGGCTGGAAGGGACCTCGGAAGATCGAGTCCAGCCCCCCGCCTGAAGGGCAGGAAGTCAGCTGGGGGCATAGGATCCCAGCAAGATAAGCATCCAATTTTTTCTTGAAGGTGTTCAATGTAGGTGCTTGAACTACCTCTGATGGCAGGCTGTTCCAGACCTTGGGGGCTTGGACAGTAAAGAAATGCTTCCTTATGTCCAGCCTGAAACGGTCT